TTTTTTTTTTTTTGTTGGCGTACTATTTTATAGATTTTACGACACCCTTGCTGTATCAGAAGCATAACTCGAAAACGGATATAATATTAACAGTTACGTAATAGCAATTTATATGACAATAAAACAAAGAAAAAACCTTCTATTAAACTGTATAAAGTGTCAACGTAGTAAACTGTTACCTTTTTGTCAACAATTTCAAAAATGCGAAAGAAAAAAAAGAAACCGGGAAAGTGTGAGAGAAAAGCAGCAGGGTTAATCATAACCGTTTTGTTCATTCAACCTTTTTCCTTTCTGCATTCAAATTTATTTAATTTTATTTCACTGACTACTGAAAGCCTGCAACAACTATGGTTTTTACCTACAATGTTTACTAAATTGGTTAAGCTGCAAATGAACCACCTAAAGTAATATTTACGTACAGGTTTACTATTTGTAGGAAAGAAAAAGCAGGTTGTTTCTATCACAAGCCTCAAAAAAGTGGAAGACAAAAGATAAGAAAAAGAATCAGAGGTAATGTGATAGGTGTCGTACATAAAAATAAGCTGTACTTTACTTTTCCATTTTTGGCTTACTTCGTCGCAGCTAAGATTGTATGGTTTTGCGGCGACATTGTAATAAACTGCTGAAACAGTTTCAGTTTAGTGGCAGCTTTTCGGCATTTGTCTTCACGCCTCCAAAAAGCAGCCTAAGTGGGCATTTTCATGGCAAAAATCAGAATGTAGTTGTGGGCGAACTCAAAATTCAATGAATTATTTGTTGGCCAATAAACTAACATTTTCATGTGGTGCAGCAAATACTCGACGGCTACAATGGAAATAAATCTTTAAAATTACAGATACGGTTTTTGGATTTTCCTTGTTTGCAACAGATTGCCAATTTTTAGCTGTTTTTTTCAATAACATTACTTCGATTCTAATAACTGCGGTTACAGTTGCTGTTGCATAGCGAAGTTCACTGCTTGCCTCAAAAAAGTCAGGATTTGTTACGCCTATATTGCCGTATTTTCAGAAAAGTTTTGCATACAAAAGAGAGCATTTATAAAAATCATAAATGTAAGACTAAAAAGGCGGAAAGAAGGAGCGGGAGAATTACTTGTTACAAATCTTAGTTATTTTGATAAACTAAAAAGAAAAATACAAGCTCTCAAAAACTCGATGAAACTGCTGCAGAAAGCATGGGAAATAGCGTGAACTGAGAGAGTAAGTGGGTAAGTGGGGCTTTTTAAAAATACAGGGAGAATAGGTTGAACGAAGTTGATTTGAAAAACCGAGAGGGCTCAGTGAATATAATCAGTCATTAGGAAATTGTATAAAGATAAGGTACAAGGCGATTACTGGTCAGCAAAAAACTTAGTGCAGCTGTTTAAAAGTTTCGCAGCACGAGATAAAGCAAGTGATCGTTTTGCTGAACCTCACAAGATCCTCACAAGGATGTAACATAAGGTGAGACTGAGCTTCTTTAAGCAGGCAGTATCTAAATAGCGTATTTCTTCCAGATTAGATACAATTTGTTCCAAGATAAGAATAGTTGCAAAAGAAGT